ATATATATATATATATATATTACTTGGAAATTTTTCTTGAAACTCGCCACAAACTCTCCGAACGAACGAGCGTGATCGCGAAAGTTCTTAAGGAAATTTCGCGGATCTATCCGTACGTGTGCGCGTTGGAAAATCTGGCAAATATTTCGATATGCGTCGAATAGACGAGCAAACGGCCAGAGGGAATGGCGGATAATGTCTATATGCTTGCACGTGTACACGTGTTCCTCGTATCCTCGTGCGTGTGTTAACTCGATGAAGAAAATTTCGCACAGTTGCTGCATCGTTCACTGATATCGCGTGCTCTCTGGTACACTTTGCCACTCGACTCGTCCAATTTCCACCGTAATTCGTATATTATAATCGAGCGTTACACGATTGTAATCTGGCCGTCTCGCGACGCCATACGCCAAATTTACCCTTCACCTGTTAATTTCATCGGTTGCTCGACTCGCAACTGGCGAGATCCAGCCAGTTCGTTTGCGCACGTAATACGTATGCAAACAATCAGAGAGAATCCCGTTCGAGGTAAACAGGCTGATCGCTCGGCTCAGATTTGCCAATAAACTTTTATTCGAGGCATTGTTTACCGGATGTTGTTACGCCCGGTATATTTTGCCTGTATCTTTTTTTCTTTTTTTCGGTCAATATTCAGCCGACACAAGAGACGAGGTTGTTTCGCATGCGAAAAATTTAGCTTCGCTCAGAAAGGTGTCTAATGAACGAAAGATATTGAAAGATCTTGCGAATTGTCAACTTCGAACGACTCTCTTTTTACAATACCAGCTTCGAAGTCTGTGAGAATATTAATTTAATAAGCTTAATTGTTAACCCACACACACACACACACACACACACACACACGGATCGTTCAAAGTTCAAAGACAATTGAAAAGATACGAATATTTTTTTGACACGAAGCTGCACTTCGGAAATTATTTGAAAAAAAATACGAAAGGAATATTTACGATTGTATGTTCGAAAAACACGATCAAACGTATCTTCGATTCTTTCTTTCGCCGGCAAGTGACACGAGAATCAAGGAATTAACAGAAACAGTA